CTCCAAAGCATCAGTTTCAAATGTTAAAAACTGCTATCAACCGTCTTCAGTGTTAAGACATTGGCAGGTCCTGGAGGCTGTAGAAGGAAGGTGGTGTCTGCCTCCCGGGGTTTGCAGTCAAACTAAGAGCCATATTCGGTGCAAATGGGGAGGTTTGATTAAGTGCCAAATAAGAGGGCAGGTGGGCATCATAGGAAGTGGGGAGGAGGAGGGAACTTCTGAAGGGGAGAGCTGTTCCAGCATGGCCTTCTGAGAAGGGTCTGGAATCAGAGAAATGCAAGCTAGCTGCTGGAGAGTCCCTTTCTTCCAGCTGGTTGTCACTAGGCCACCTGTGCCAAGAAGTGGCACATTCAGCCATTCATGTATTCACACAAACCCGTGTCGGCTGAGCTCCCACTGTCTGGCCAGCTCTGAGAGGACTCCCTCAGATCCCATCTCATGCAGCCATGGCCCACTCTGCTGTCTGCTTTCCAGTTCCTAATCCCGGATCATGGGCCCTCCAGGCTGGGAAGCACTCTGAGCAGCGTGTCCGCTCTCGACTTTACCCCACTCTAATTAAACAAGTGGTCACTTATCTCCTTGGAGAGAAGAGGTTTTAGGGGAGGGAGTGTATCACTCTGGAATGCTTTTGGATGCATGTAAGGGAAAACACCACCTACAATAACTTTAAACAAAGGGATTTATTTAATCACTTAACAAGAGGGTTCGGAATGGCAGCAGCTGCTGGTCTTTGCTCACTGGCTCAACAACATCAAGGTGTTCTGTTGACCTTTTGGCTTCTCTTGTCTTATGGTTAAAACAGGGCTGCTGTAGCTCAAGACATCACATTCAAATGCAAGGGAGGAAGGTGGAGAAAGGAAAGGATTTGGTGCCTGCTGAGTCCATCTCTTAAAAGAAAGACAAGTGTTTTCCCAGAGTCTGTAGCAGGCTTCTGTTTTTTCTCTTGGGCCAGACGTAGGCACCTCTCACTTCAAGAAGCAAGTGTCTCACCTGGGGCCGGGGAAATTGCCACTCCACAATGTGGGAGTTTCTTATCAAAGACAATGCGGGGAATGAATATCAGGGAGGCAATCACAGCATTAGCCACAAAGAGAGCTGGGGACTTCCTTGTACAATCCTAGGCACTGAGCCTTTACCCCCAGCTCCTGCCCAAGAAACTTCTGGACAGTCCCTTCTGCTGAAACGTCAAGCTGCTTCTTCCTAGCCTGTCCTCAAATGAACCTTGAGAACATTATGCTGAGTGAAGTAAGCCAGTCACAAAGCTTACCCCACTGTCCTCCTCCCTCCAGCACACGGAATCAAACTCGAGCCCCCTCGCCCTCCCTCCCTGGCTCAGCCAGGAGACTGTTCTCCTGGTTTCTGCTCAGTTTCACCCACTGTGGAGTCCCTCTGGGGAAGTTAAAGGGAGGGAGAATAAAAGAGGAGGGAGAGTGTTAATTAAACACCAGATGTTTAACTCTGTTAATTAATGGCTCTGTCACCCTGAGTGGCAGCAGCCTTCTCTTCTCTGTCTCCTTCACCCTCACCATTCTGTTCTTCTCTGGAGGGCCTTGAGTCTGAAGCTAAAGAACTCAACATTTGTTCAGCGGAGCCCTGAGGCCAGCAAAGGTAAAGGGAGAAAGCCGGCCAGGGCAATCCAGGAGGAGGGAGTTCCCTTGTCCAGGAGGGAGGCATGGACATACTGGCAGTAGGGATGGAAAGAAGGAACAGTGGGAGAGAGACCAAAGCCCAGAGGTCACAAAGAGATAGCTTTTTTGGTACATGTAGGGATTTCAAAAAATGCAAGTGTTTGCAAGCATTTAAAAATGGGTAAAATTTCACATAAATCCAGATATGCAGATCTTCTTTAAAAATGGGCAGGTCTGGGCCTGTGTCCTCACGCGGCAACAGTTAGCTGGCAGAAAGTAGAGCAGGTGGCCGGTAGCTGTCCTACCCAGACAAAGCATGTGTTCTCCCATCCTCTGCCTCCACCCCACATACTTGGCTGGCTCACATGTCACCTGTCACCTGCCATCCCATCTGGGATTGGGATCCACCGAGGTACAGGTGCCAAGACTCACCAACAGGTTGCACGTAGAGATGAGAGAGAGGAGAGTCTCAGAATGCTGAAATGTGAGTCAGGATATTTGTGGAAATTGTAGGGCCAATGATAGAAGTGAGGAATGTGGGAGGAGCAGGTTAAGGGAGAAAACTGGCAAATTTATTTTGGGCAGGCTGCGGTAGTGATGCCTGGATGATATGGAGGCGGCCGGGCAGTCTGGAGTCCAGGAGAAGGGCTGGCAATCCGTGGAGCTGGGGGGCACAGGAGGAAGTGGAAGCCCTGGGGAGGGAGGGAGCGCGGCTGAGATCACCCAGTATCGGCTATAGTGAGAGAAGAGGGAATTGAGAACAGAACCTTTGAGAACCACACATTTGGGAGAAAGAACCAGAAAGAAAAGTTAGGGCCAACTGAGAGGGTAGAAAGAATCTAGACTATGTAATGACAGAGAAGTAGAAACAGAGTCCAATATTTTTATGGCACCTTCCTCTATATGATCTGTTTTGATGCCCAAGTGGTATTTCCAGAAAGCCAAGGGAGTCAAATGTTCTGCCTCTCCCGATGCCCCATGTTCTGTCTCCCTTCTCATCATCTGTAGCTGGCTCCCAGGAAGACATGAAATCAGCCACTTACATCACAGCCTTTTAACCTCTTTCAGGCCGTTCAGATTCTTATGTCTAATAACTTTAGAGTAAAATCAGCCACTTACATCACAGCTTTTTTTTTTTTTTTTTTTTTTTTTTTTTGAGTCAGAGTCTTACTTTGTCATCCATGCTGGAGTGCAGTGGCGCGATCTCAGCTCACTACAACCTCTGCTTCCCGGGATCAAGCAATTCTCCTGCCTCAGTCTCCCGAGTAGCTGGGATTACAGGTGCCCACCACCAGGCCCAGCTAATTTTTGTATTTTTATTTTTAGTAGAGATGGGGTTTCATCTTGTTGGCCAGGCTGGTCTCAAACTCCTGACCTTGTGATCTGCCCACCTCGGCCTCCCAAAGTGCTGGGATTATAGGGGTGAGCCACCATACCTGACCCTATATCACAGCCTTTTAACCTCTTTTAGGCTATTCAGATTCTTATCTCTAATAACTTTAGAAGGAAAGGCTTGGTCTCTAATTGAAAGTTTCATTAGTATCCCAGAAATGGCCCACTAGGTAAGCAGTGGCCCCTCATGCTATCTCCTCATCTCCATGAGTGTGTAGGAGGAATGCAGCTTCTGTGACCAACACAGACACACACGCATGACTCTTGGCCACCCTGAAAAGTCTCTGCTCTCTGTGAGTGGCCAGAGGAATGGGGCTTTGGGGTCAGAGAGCCTTTGGGCCAGTGCGGACCTGTTGCTCACCCATTGTGACTTTTCCCTCACCTCTTTAACCTGAGTTTATACATGTGTGAAGTGAGAGTAAGGGTGGTGTGCGTGTTAAATAGGATAATTTTCATGGGGGGGTCAGGGATCTGGGGGAGCTGGGGCAGAGTCTGAGCCTATCACCCCAGTCTGTGGGTCTTTCTGTCTCCCTCTGACACGACCAGCACAGAAAGCCAGGCAGCAGATGTTACTGGTCTCACTTCATTTCCATAGATTTACAAGCATCCCTTTATGTGTTACTGAAAAATTGGGTGTAAATCCTATTTTAAGAACACAGTGGAACTCATTACTTAAAGAACACTTTGGAACATCCTTTTGGGAAGTGAATAATAGTCACCGTGTGTGCTGGTGTTGATGAATTTCTTTTTGTTGGCATGCAGGTCACCTGTAAGGTCTCCCACAATCTCCCCTTTGCATTTTGTGGCCATCCTCTTTCTCACAGGACGAACCCTGTTCCCCTTTCCTGTGCCTGTCATTTCCACATCTCTGCTCCTCCCTTCCGGGCCTGCATGTCTGGCTCCTGATACTCCTCCAGCAGTAGCTCCTTCTTCCCTGAGACCGTGTGGCCATGACTTGCCAGGATCCATTTACTGGCTGCTACTCCTTCTTTAGAAATTCAGTCACAGATGAGTCTCTGGATGCCAGAAGTGTGTTTGCCATGTGGGAACCACTGAGCGTGAGTCCCCAGGGTAAGTGTGGCAGGCAGAATAATGGCTCACCAAAGATGTCCACGTCCTAATCCCTAGAACCTGTGAATATGGTACCTTACGAGGCAAAAGGGAATTTGCAGATGTGATTGAATCATGGATCTTGAGGTGGGGAGATTATCCTGGATGATTTAGATGGGCCCAATGTAATCACATGGATCCTTAAAAGTAAAGCAGCTTGCCCAGCTGCGGTCCAAGGGAGAGGTAACAGTGGAAGAAGGCTTAGAGATTGTAGTGCAGCTGGCTTTAACCATAGAATGTGGGCAGCCTCTAGAAGCTGGGAAAGGCAAAGAAATGGATTCTCCCCCAGAGCCTCCAGAGAGAAATGCATTCCTGCTATCGCCTTGATTTTAGCCCACTGAGACCCATGTCAGACTTCTAACCTATAGAAGTGTAATTTAATACATGTGTGTTTTAGGCCTGGCATGGTGGCTCATGCCTGTAATCTTTTCGGAGAGAGGAGGACACTTTGGGAGGCTGAGGCAGGAAGATTGCTTGAAGTCAGAAGTTTGAGACCAGCCTGGGTGACATAGTGAGATCCCATCTCTACAAAAACTTTTTGAAATTAGCCAGGTATGGTGGTGCAACCTGTAGTCCCAGCTACTTGGGAAGCTAAGGCAGGAGGATCTTTTGAGCCTAGGAGATCAAGGCTTCAGTGAGCTGTGATCATGTCATTGCACTCCAGCCTGGGCAGCAGAGTAAGATCCTGCCTCAAAAAAGAAAAATGTTTGTTTCAAGCCCCTACTATGGTGATTTGTTAAAGCAGCACCAAGAAACAAACACAGCAGCAACCACGTGGTCTCTGGGGCAATCTGACCTCACATCTGACCTCATCTCTTTTGCCTAGTTCATCATGTATCCATGACTCACCCAAAATTTCTCCCCCTTCAGTGAGTGGTTTCAGCTGGTGCCTGGCCTGCATCTCTTGGCTGCTGTGGCTTCACTCCATCTCCTGTTGCCCACTACCTCGTGCTTGGGCTGCCTGACACCCCAGCCTGACAACTAAGGTGTGGATGAAGACTAGGGGGCTGGCTTCTCTCACTGGTCAGGGGTAAGTGTGCCCAGGGGAGTGTGGGGGGCTGCAGCAGGTCACAGACTTGAAGGGAGAGCAGGGAGAAGACCCCCTCATCTGAGGCATCATCAGCATGCCTCCTAGGACCTCAGTCTACCGTATTTGAGCAGCTCATCCTTTCTAAAAATTGTGGTAACATATATGTAACACGAAGTTGGCCATTTAACCCTTTTCAAGTACACGGTTCAGTAGTATGCACCTCTCACCACCATCCGTCTCCAGAACTCTTCATCTTGCAGAACTGAAACTCTAAACCCATTCAGCAATAACTCTGGCTTCCCTCAGCCCCAGGCATCCACCATTCTACTTTCTGTCTCCATGGATTTGCCTACTTAGGTACCTCATATAAATGGAATCATGCAGTGTTTACCTTTTTGTGGCTGGCTTACTTCACTTAGCATAATGTCCTCAAGAGCCATCCACATGGTAGTGTGTGTCAGAATTTCCTTCTTTTATGAGGCTGAATCATATATTCGGTTGTATAGATCTTTCACATTTTGGGTATCCATTTCTCTGTGGATGGAAACTTGGGTTACTTCTACCTTTTGGCTATTGTAAATAATGCTGCTATGAACATGTGTATGAATATTTCTTTGATATCCTACCTCCAGTTCTTGTGGGTATATACCCAGAAGTGGAATTGCCAGATCATATGGTAATTCTGTTTAATTTTTTGAAAAACTGCCAGACTGTTTTACATAGCGGCTGCACCATTTTACCTTCCCACCAACCCATTTTAACTATTTTCAAGTATGCAGTTCAGTGGCATCAAGTACATTCACATGGTCCTGTAACCATCACCACCACCCATCTCTGTAGGAGTGCTGAATTACAGGAGAACGAACTCTCTGGATATGAGAAAACTTACTGGGGAAAGTGAGTAGAAATGGGCCCTCCCCATAAAGATTTATGCTGAGCGACCAAAGTTGTGCTGGAAATCCCAAGAAAATCCAGGCCTTTAGCTGAATTTGCTGTTTGTTTTTGAGCTGAGGGCATATTTTCAAATGCAGTTTTCATTTTATGCAGAGACTGAACATCTGATAGCGAAATGTTTCCACGGAGAGAGCCTGCCCATGGGAGGAGGGAAAGGAGGCTGCTCTAATGAATAGATAAGCTTGATTTGCATTTGGTGCCATCCTTAGCATTTAATTTCAGCAATTAAAGTAGGCAAGTCTCCTTTGTTTTCTTTTTCCTTGCAAAAACAATAAAACATTACAGAACGTTTGGTAAATATGAAACAAAATCCTACTTACCATATTACCTTAGTGAAACCCCCACCACCATTTGTAATAGTAGTCTGTGCAAGGCATGAACCATGCTATTCACCTTGATTTCATCTAAGCCACACTGCTACTCTATGAGGCAGGGGCCTGGTTCTCCCCGATGCTTGTGGGCTCTGTGCGCATGCATTTGGTCTATCTTCCTCCACATGCCTCACAATTGTGAACAATTGCCGTCACAATGTTCACACTTCATATTCTCAAGTGACGTAAACATCCTTGTGATATTCTTGTTTTCAGTTCTTACCATGTGTTGACTTACTCTGTTCGTAGGAGCAAGTCCAGTCTCCATGATCACAAATACAGAAGATTATAGACCATGTTTAAGAGGTTGTCACCATCTGCAAACATTCCCTGGAGTGGCCTGGGCTCCACCCACATGGCTGTGTGAAATAATGTCATTTTCTAAATGGCTGAGTCCTGTGTGATGTGCTGGCATCGAGTAAGGGGCAGACTCCTGAGCCTGACTGCTTGGGTTTGAATCCAGCTTTTACCAGTTCGACCTCATGCAAGTTATTTAACTGGTCTGAGCCTCAGTTTTCCCATGTACAAAATGGGGATAATTATAATACCCACAAGGTAATTGTTTCTATCAAACGGTATAATATAAACAGCATAGGACACTTCCGGGAGCATAAAAACATGGTTGATATTGTTGTTGTCACTGTTACTTAATCTTACTACTACTTAGTCTCTGCCACAAGCTCCCTGCTCAGTCTTGCTCTCTCCTCCCATCCTCAGTTTCTTCATCTATGAAGTACAGTGATCTGTTGTATGAAGTACATGATCTAAACATGTGATCTGTCAGAGCCCTTCTGGTTCAACTTTGGGTCATCACCTTGTTCTTTCTCTCTTCCCCATTGCAGCTAAAGGGATGTGGGTGGAACTGCAGGAAGCACTGACAGAACACTAATGAGATACATGCATGATTTGAGGTTTCTAGGACTATATGGAGGAGGGAAGAAATCGGCCCAGACTGCAGAAAGCAGAGGCAGGGAATGAACTTGCCCTGGGAGAGGACAAGGGGGTCGGGGGTAGGAGAGGTTTCCCATACCCTCACCCCCAGGTTTTAGAGCTGAAAAGTGCTAGGAAGGTTTTCCTCCCTCTCCCCCTTTCGGCTCTGGTCCCAGCCTTTCCTCTGGGCCCCAGTCTCTCAGATGGTCTAATAGGGAAGAAAAGAGGAAAATCCGTATCCAATCTGCTCTATTCAGAGCAATGGGAAGGCATCTGCATCTCAATCTTACCTTTGTGCTGAGTTGGGCTAAGCTTGTCCCCCCCAAGTGGTAAGTGATGGGTGGGTGGGAAGATGCCTTCACTACCTCCAAGGAGAAACCCACCGCTGGGCCACCATATTCGGTGGCCCTGGGCAGGGACAGGAGAGAGCTGCCCCAGCAATGCCTTTCCCTTCCTGCCAAACTGCACACAGTACACGTTCTTCCCTGCTCTTGGTTCCCCTCTATTTCTTCGTCTTTTATTTTTATTCTCTTTTTCTCCCTCTTTCCCAGGCAGGTAGCCAAGTGGAGACTTTGAATGGAGGCAAGGATGGAGGGGATCCAGGGAAGAGGACCGGCCTGAACCCCATTCCCCAAAGGTCCTCATGGACTGAGCTGGAGGTGGGGACTAAGGGGAAGCATTGCCTTATCTCCCGTCCACTGTGGCCCCTCGCTATCAGGCCTGGGCTGGGGGAAGCTGCCAGGTGCCTATCATCGCACTGGGCTCTGGGCCCCAGACTCTGCCCTGTCCATCTGGAACCTCTAGAATTTGTTACTCTGGAGCCGTTCAGGACCCAGAAAAACTGCCTCCCACAGCCCCAACTCACAGGAGGCTGGTTTGCAGCAGGAAGACAGCTTAATAATTTATAGCCCGAAAGTGCTCTCCCCAGTAAGGAAGCCAACTCAGGAAACCAAATTAAACTGGGAGGGCCTCTTGGAGAGCTTGGAGAGTGCCCACGGAGCCAGGGCTGTGGAATGCAACGATAGGGCTGGGGCTTGGTAGTGTAGTGTAGTGGCCCAAGGTGTGGGCTTGTGCAGCAGACAGTCTCAGATTCAAATCCCAGCTTCACGGGCAGTCACAGAGGGACCTTGGGCAAGTGCCTCAGCTTCGATAATGATGCTCGTGTGGGAACCTCTCAGCCTTCTTGCAACGCTGCTGTGAGACCTTGCAGGGAAAGAGCTTACTTAGCCCAGTGCCTCGACACTGCCTATATGCTCCAGGCATTTGTACCCAGGCCCTTATCTTTTAGGGTCACGACTCATCTTCTTCAGCCTGATTACACTCTTTCACGGCTTTTTTCACTAAAGAGAAAAGAGGTCTGAGTTTACTCTGGAGAGGCCCTCCTTATTGGCCGAAGTTTAGTGGTCCTGTGGCCCACAAGGTTTCCAACCGCGTCCTTCAGTCTCCCTGCATTTGTCTGGAGCTGAGGCCTGCAGTTGGGTTGGGGAGTTCTCTGAAAGGGTGCAAATGAGGCTGAGATCCAGCTGCTTTCTGGGTGAAAGACCAGCTTCCCAATGTCTAGAGTTGCCCTGCTGACAAATGGCCTGCTCTAATGCACCTGTCCCCTTGCTCACTGCCACCAAACTTCCCAAAGCATGAACGGATCCAACCACATCTTTCCACTGTCCCAAACTATCCAAAGTCCCCCTCTTCAGCAGAAGGAAACCTCCTGAATCTTTGGGTTTGCGCTCAAGTCTCACTGTGATTTCACCTCGGTCCTCCTTTCGAAACTCATCTCCCTCTCAGCCTCCCTCCACCAGCTTCTCCAGATCGGCAGGGGATGGGCCAGGGCCAAGTCTTTCCCCTCCTGTGCCGTCTGTCTGGAATGCTCTTCCCCGATGGCTGGGGAAGCTCCACCCTTGTTCCCTTCAAGAGAGTTCCACCTTCTACAAGGGCCTCTTAGACGCTCTCCCCACTGCAGCCTGTCACCCACTTTCCCAGGGCGTCTTTTCCCTTTTAGCGCACTCTCACCAGCTGCTTTCCGCTGCTCTACCCTGCAGGAGGGCCGGCCCGATGCATCCCCATGCTGAATGGAATGGTCCTCAGTGCGGCAACTCAGCGGCCACCCCACCCCCCAGAGTGGTCTGGGCAGGCCCCTCTCTGGCAACGGGGGGAGGGCACATTTGTGCTGGTGGGCGGGGGGGTGCCTGTTGGGAGGCCAGTTTGGGCTCTGTGGGGAATTCAGCTCTAACACACACTCTCTTCGCCTCTGTCTCCGTTATCCTTCGCCCCTGAGCAGAGGGCGCGGTTCTCTCTGCAGCTGCGGGGCCTCCAGACTGCTCCAGCCTTGGCTCCCGCCCCACTTCTCTGCTCTTCTTCACTGCCACTAGCCAATTTCCCCCCCTCCCCCTGTTTCAGCGAACCCTCTTCCTACTCTTTGCGCTGGGAAAATGAGCCCGGGAGAAGTTCCATACAAGGCGGGGAGGCCTCAGGGTGTGTGTGCGTGGGTGTGCATTCTCTCACACACATGCACGTGCATTCACACGCCTCCAGGCACCGTTAGAGTGACCCAGAACCCACAGGGAATTGTGGCAGCAGCGTGAGAGAAGAAGGCAAGAGCAGCTCTGGCCTAATATTTGGGAAAATGCTTTCTTCACTGCTGAAGGTTTCCCAAAATAGCAGGAGTCGGCTGGCGCTGCATCTCCCCTCCCCCACTCCTAGAGCACCCTGCCCCAGCTCCAGTGCCAAGCAGGCCCAAGGCAGGGC